AACTCCCACAAGTTGTCTCTGACCTCCATGTACACGCTAAGGTGTTACATTCACACACACAAACACAACAAACAAACATTTTTTTTAAAAAAATCCTAATACAGAATATAGATTTGGGTGATTACAATGTATCAACTGTACAAAATGTACCACTCTGAGTTGGGCACAGTGGCACATGCCTACAATCACCACATTGTGGAGGCTGAGACAGAAGAGTCAGAAGTTCAGGACTAGTGTGAGCTACATAGCCAGAACCTATTCCAAAAGTAAAATGAATAGTTTTATATATTTTTTAAAGGTGAAGTAGGTCAGCAACACGCTTCAGCAGGACCCACACCAGAGAGTAGCTGGACAACACAAATCAGACTCCACTTGTAGGTTTAAAAAAGGAGACAAACAACATGGAATGAGCAGATAGAGAGGTGGAGGTGGATCTGGAGAAGAGCTGGGGGAAAGGGGTGAATATGACCGAATCCACTGTATGAAACTCTCAATGAGTAAAGATAAATTATTTTTTAAATAATGAGGATATGTACCACTCTGGTGAACGTTATAGATAATGGAGAGGACATGTAGAACAACAGAAATTTATGCACATAAATCCAAAGCTAATCTAAAGCCCCTCTTTAAAAAATACCTTCAAGGGCCAGAGAGATGGCTTAGCTGGTAAGAGCAATAGATGTTTTTCCAGGGGACCCTCATTCAATTCCCAGAACATATGTGACTACTAACAGCCATCTGTAACTCCAGTTCCAGAGGATCTGTCCCCTGCCTATGGCTTCTTCAGGCACTGCACACACATACATGCAGGCAAAACACCAATATGCATAAAAAAGTAATTAGTTAATAAAAAGTTAATTGTGTTAAAGAAAACCCTAACCTCCAAGGAGCTGGATATGGCTGAGAAGTTTAGAGCACCTGCTGCTCTTGCAGAGGATAGACTGGTTCAGAACACTCACATATGGACTCTGTGTATATTACTGCAGTTCCAGAGGATCAACACCCTCTTCTGGCCTCTGCACCAGCCACGCAAATGGTACATACAAACAAACAAACAAACAAACAAACACGCACACACAGGTAAGCACTAATACCCACAAAATAAAAATAATTTTTAAACAATAAAAGCCTTCTTTTTTTCAGTATGTGACATAAAACTGCAATAGAGGCCAGACTGTGGTGGCACACACCTTTAATCCCAGCAGAGGCAGGAAGATCTATGTGAGCTTGAGGCCAGCCTGGTCTACAAGAGCAAGTTCCAGGACAGCCTCCAAAGCCACACAGAAGCTCTGTCTCAAAAAAATCAAAAAAAAAAAAGTTATACCCTTGACCTACCAATGTTGAAAATAGTGAGTAAACAGTTATCATTTGAAATAATAGGATTTTATTTTTTAAGCAGGTGTCTGGTTAAACAAAGGAAATAGTTATTTCAAGCAAACAAAGAGAACATCCACTTCACAAGGACTTGAAAATTGTTTTTTTTTTAAAACATAATTCTAGAGCAGATGGTAAAGTATAGTTTGTCCTCACTAAAATTCATGCTAGAGTTAGCTTGCATTAAGAGAATAGAAACTGAACATAACTCATGTTTCAGGGCATTGCCATTGGGATATGATTACAATCAGATAAAGTCATCATAGGAGTTCATCATAGAAAAGTCATCATAGGAAAATAAAAGCAATGAGAGTATGCATGCATTCACACACACCACACACCAAGCACTCACCCCCCACACAAAGGAATCTCGTCCATCTCTTGCCATATGATTACCTGAAACACTTCACCACTGCCAGCAAAGTCATCACTAGATGAGATCCATCAACCTTGGACCAAAACTGCAAACCACAAACCCTTTTCTACACAATGTACACAATCCATGGTACCATATTACTAACAATGGAAGACAAAGTAAGACAAGTGGTATATAAAGAGCAAATGATAGGGGAGGGAGCTAGGATAATGAGAAGGGGAGAAGAGGAGGGGGTGAGGAGGACATGAGGGAGCAGAAAGATTGAGTAAGGGGAAGAACAGAAGAAAACAAGAATGGAAATACCATAATAGAGGGACACATTTTAGGTTTACAGAGAAATCACGCACTAGGGAAATGTCTGGAGATCAACAAAGATGACACCAGCCTACAATCTAAGCAAAAGAGGAGAGGCTACCTTAAATGCCCTCCCCTGATAATGAGATTGATGACTGACTTATATGCCACCTGATAGCCCTCATCCAGCAGCTGGTGGGAGTAGAAGCAGATACCCACAACTATCACTGAACTGAACTGGAATCCAGATGCAGGAAGGACAAGTGAAGAGCAAAGGGGTCCATCCAGACCAGGCTGGTGAAACCCACAGAAACAGTTGACCTGAACATCGGGGAACTCTTGCTCCCTGAACTGATAAATTTATAACCAATTAAATAAACAATTATAAAACTAATGTCCATTCTGGGGTAGCATTTATAAGACAGTAGAGAAATACTTGGCCAAATATAAAGACAAAGATTCTAAGACTACCCATATGATGTATAAAAATATATAAAAAAAAAAGAGAGGATGAGATTTTTTTTTTTTTTTTAAGAAACTATAGGGCTTGCCGGGTGTTGGTGGCACCCGCCTTTAATCCCAGCACTTGGGAGGCAGAAGCAGGTGGATCTCTGTGAGTTCGAGGCCAGCCTGGTCTCCAGAGTGAGTGCCAGGATAGGCTCCAAAGCTACACAGAGAAACCCTGTCTCGAAACCAAAAAAAAAAAAACAAAACAAAACAAAAACAAACAAAAATATAGGGCTAAGGAAACCAAATTAAATCTTAATCAGAAATATGTAGGTATCAGAGTTCTAAGTCATTGAATGTGAATCAGAAGATGACTCAAAGACCAATTCTTCTACTTTTGTCAGAAATCTAGAACTTCTTAAAGAGTTGAGTAATCTAACCAAATTTGTGTAACTAATAGGAAGAATCTGGGTCTTCAGGGTTCACGTATGGTCCTCATTGTAAGATTAGCAACTTAAAAGAAACTGCTAATTCAACTAAGCTGCATCCTAAATTCAGTCCATCCTCACAAAATTCAATTCTTAGACATTTTTTCCCTCAGGATTCCAAGCACTGACTGCAATTACAAATACAAACATGATCAATTTCATAGCTGTGAACAACTTCAGTCCAGTAACTCAAAAACAAGACCAATGTCTCAATGGAGACAGTTAACTACCCAGCCTGACACTGAGAATCACCATGAGATTAGCTGGAAATATACCTATTTTGTTGGAGCTCCCAGAGTTGTTTTACAGACTTCAGAATGCAGGGAACACATTCTAATTCAACTTCTCGGTGACTATAATGCATTGAAGAATTTTACTGATATTCTATTTTCAACTTTCTACATTAAGTCAAAAACTTACTTTACACTTAAGAAACTGAGACCAAGTTCATTAGCTGTCACCTCAAGTATATCATTGCCTGTTTCTAGATTCCACATTCTTCCTTCTGTAAAATTTGACGGGGTGGAAAAGTTGACTAGATTTTGATTCCTTCCAGTTCTAATATTTCTTCTTTAATTTCATTATGCCAAATAAAAACAGAACTCTCTTAAGGAATGTAAGCCATATTATGTAGAGGTTCAAAACATTAAAAAAAAAAAAACTAAAAGAAACACAAGTCACCTGATAGAGCGCTACTGGATGAGTTTGAAAGTTTTTATTCTCAAATTCATAAGTCCCTCTAACATCATCACACACAACAGCTAAAACTAGCAATATCTGACCCTAAAAAACAGGCATGGCCAAATTGGAGAGTGGTGACATTTGCCTCTGATCCCAACACTCTGAGAAGCAGTGGCAGACAGATTTCTGGAGGACAGCCTAGTGTACATAAAAAGAAGACAACATAACATGACCAAATGAAGGCAGAAGTGCTTGTAGATGATGTTTGAAATCTTTCATACGGTTAATTGTCCAACTTTACTGGAAACATGTACCAGAAAAGTTTCCTGCAATCACCATCCCCTATACAACCACTAGCCCTCCTCCCATTTTCCTATAAAGCTAAACCTTGCCCTTCCATAAGTCAACTTCTGAACTGTGTGATCAGTCACAGCTTCTTCACTAAAGTTGTTTAAGATTTTCTTCCTACAAGTCCCTGAACTTCATTCCACTTTCAGCCTAAAACAGCACAGGAACTCTCAGGATGACTGATTTCACAGTAAATACCCTCTGCTCGCTGTCCATCATACTGCTTTCAATCCTACCTTCCCAAACCAGGTTCTTTTTAAATTCACTCCTCTCCATGGAATCCTTCTTACCTAACTTTTGAGACACTTACAAATATGACTGAAGCTAGTCTCCCTACTGCAAAAATTGCTCTCTTCTCAATACAATAACTTTACAAACGTTCCTTTCGGATTAAATCTGTTGATAGTCAAGTTGGCTATTTTTTTAAGTGACATTATTTCCAGTTCTGAAATAGTGGAGTTTTAGGAGAAACCAATTTTATCTTAAGTGCCTAGCGTTGCTTGTCTCCAAGAAAGACACAGGCAGGGTTCAAAAGGTACTTCAACACCTGTAAATTCCTGGCCATGGTGATGAGCGGACAGCAAGGTCATCTGGGGCTACCTGGGGCCACAGGCAATGCAGGCTACTTATTCAGTATACTCCGACAGACCCACCCCTCCGGCACCCCACTGTCCCTCGGCTGAGCCGGGTCCCTAAGGCTGCCACACACGCTGAGCAGGTGGGGTGCGGTTCACCCCAGCGCTCCAGCAGGTTCCATTCAGAGCAGGGGCGCCAACCGGCCCCTCTCAGACTGACCTCCCCGCCCTTTCCTCCTGACGGTTGTCACTCTGCTCCTCACCGAAGGACTCACCATAACGCCGAGAAGAGGTCGTGAGACGGACACTCTGGAGTCGCCGGGAGCGTCCTCAGTTTCCCCTCCAGGTTCTGCAGAAAGCGCGAGGGAAAAGGTCTTCCGGCTCTGCCGGAAGTCCTGCCCGCGCGGGACAGGAAGTCCCTCCCTCTCCTTACCGCCAGCGACCCCACGCCACGCAGAGATGAGGAGACGCAAGGCGTCCTCTGCAGCTACTTCCGTGGGTGCGAGGCTAGGCTGGGGGGCGGGGCTGACCTTGAGAGCGCGAGGGCGCAGGCGCGCAGGTAGGTGGGCGGGGCGGAGTGTCGCGCCCGTGGGGCTCCTAGGTATGCTGGGCTGGCGGTGCGGTGGCGTCTGAGGCGTTCGATGGGCTGGGTGGGAGTCGACCTCGCGCCCTGTCGGCTTGGTGAGGGTGAAGAGCGAGCGTCCCAGGCTGGATCCGTGCTGAGCTAACTCAGAAATTGTCCAGGCTCAGCCAGCGTCCTGTCTTTCGTTTTCCTTACGCGGTACCCTGGAGTCTAGGTAAAATCCCAGGTCGCGCCGACCTCACTTAGGTCGGTTGACTTTTATTTAGAAGTTCTTAGCTCTCCACAGATGCCACCTGGAGCCAGGGGATATCTACCAAGAACAGAAACCGAGAAGAAAATTCATTGTGGACACTTCCTGCCTACTTAATTCCAGTATGAACAAAACAGGCATTGTAACACGGAAAGAAGTGAAATTCTCATATATACATGCATACATATGTTTTGGGACCCCCCCCCCAAACATCTCTACGGGCAAGCTCTGCCTTTTTATTGTGATGAGAATTACCTTGGAGGCAAATTTGAAATAATTATACAAAGCATCTTGATCCAGAAATTTATATTTCCCTTATCCATGAGATATCTTTTACCATAATGTGGTTTCGTCCTGACAAAGTACCTGGAAGTAATGATGTTCAACTTCTAAATGGCCCAAGGACGCTGGGACTCAGTTCTGAGCCACCTAAAGAAGTTAGCTGGGAACGGAAACAAAATTCATTAATGGGGTGGGGGATGGTAAGCAGAGTGACAGGCAGTAGAGACAAGAAATGACGGAAGCTGCTGCAAATCCAGTGGCCTTGAGGCGTAGTTTGTGAAGTAGATTCTGCTGATGATCAATACAGAACTTCCCCAAGGGTTCAGTTTTTGCTCTACAGAAACAAGGTTGTAAATAGACAGGCCCCACCCAGAACAACTGCAGATGGTTGAGTGCAGTATGGAGGGATTGGGGTAGTCTGCTGGTCTGTCTGGGGAGGCAGAAAAGGTGGAGGAGGAGAGTGGCTACCAGCCTGTAAGTGACATCACATTCTGTGAAGTCTTACTCTTTCATTTATGACACTGTGGGTCTTCTAGCTGTCCTAAACCTGGCAGCCTCACTGAGGTTCACAAAACATCTCCTCCTATGACAGTAAGCTAGGAATCAGTAGCAGGATAGAATCCATTCCTGCCAGAGTGAAAGTAAGAAATCAGTCAGGTTTTTCTATCATCACTTTTAATAGTCTGTCATATTCTATACTCTTTATTTTCCGAATGGCACATTGATTAAAAATCCTTGGTTAAAATCCTTTAATTTCTTTCACATGATTACCTCTGCCACAACATTACAAAAAAGTAGTATTTTTAGTAATTAGTTTGTGTGTGTGTTTACATTTACAGCTATGTCAAGTCTTTTTATCCTATAAAAACTATTTTCTATTGATTACCTGTTTATTTTTTTAAAAAGATTTTACCCCTTTTCCATTTCTTAGATGGACAGAGGTTTTTGACAAAGATTCAAATAGAATGAAAAAAAACGGGAGGGAGGAGAGATGCGATGATTGATAACAATTTAATGACCTTTTGGCAAAGGAGTGCCATATGAGAAAAGTCTTGGCTCTTACCGTTTGGGACTTGTGATAACTTAAAATGTCCTCTTTGAGAATTGCTCTCAAATATGTATAAATATCAACAGAAAGTATTTATATCAATACTGACTCTGATCTGAAACTCTTCTACTGGGAGTGGCCAGATGTGATCAGAAGTTATCCTTATAGTAGAAATGGCCGGTAACCTGGGCAATCCAGTAGAGCTGACCCTGTTGATGGGGGTGAGGGGTGGGGAAGCCAGCCCACAGGGCACGACAGTGGGAGAGATGGCTCTGTCCCCTCTTGTCTGCCATGTGGTGGCATGGAAGAAGGAAAGATGCCTTCACCCCCACAAGAGGCAGGAGATCTGGCCTATAGAGCATGAGCTGGAAAGCTGGTCCTGCCCCTCACCTGCTCCAGCATTCAATAGAGTGGCCCCTGGGCAACACAGCAGAGCTGGCCCTGGTGGTGTGGGTGCTGGTGAGCCAGCCCAAAGGGCTTGAGAGCAGAACTAGCCCACCCCTTGCTGTCTGGTGCACTGGGTGAACAAGCTGGAGCAGTGCTGGAGAGCTTACTATGTTGGTGAAGGTGAAGGAGAGCTGGTGAGCTGACCAACCCAGCTACCACCTAGGCCCAGAACCAGGGCTATGTGTTGGCCCACACCAACATCCACTCCATCAGTGATGTGATAGAGCACATGAAGGGGCTGGTCCTGAAAATCCAAAGCTGTAGGATCTCCTTGACACAAATCAACAACAGGATATCCAAGAGGAGTCCCAGTGTCAATAGAGTGGCAGAAGCCAAAGGCCTCAAATCAGACCAATGTCTCGTTCCAATGAACACTTGCAAGTAAAGATGTATGGACTAAAGGGTATACTGTGTGACTCTCTGTGTCACAATACAACTTCCATGATGAGTTTTTTTTCTTTTAAATTTCAATTTATTACTTTGTGGGGGTGGTTGCAAGGAAACAGGGCAGATACAAAGGGCCAGAGAGATGAATGGGGTCAGGATGTGTAATATGAAATCCACAAAGAATCAATAAAAAATTGAAAGAAAAAAGGGCTTGGCCTGGAACTGAATAAACAATGAAAATATAAGGAATAATAAGTACAAGTCTAAAAAATTAAAATTGATCAAGATTTTATATTTCATGATTAAGAAACACTAAAAGGGTATGATTTAAGCTATTTCAATGACAAGAGAACCCAGTTTTGCAAAAACTTGGAAAACTTATTAGCAGAATAGGCAACAATATGAAACATGAAACCATAATGTAACTTGAAATATTTCAGACAGGTAGATAGCAAAACCCAAAGTGTTCCTGAACCATATGGATTTGATTTCATAACTCTAAATAGGCAAGAATTTTAAACTGGCAATATCTTTGGAACATTTATACATTTCTAATAGGAGCTGACACTGATGCAATTCTGAAAACAATTTAACATTACTAATAAAGTTGAAGATGAGCAGTATCTCTGGCCCAGGAAAAACGTACCACAAGATGAACAAGAACATTCACATACAAAGCAGCAAAAATTAGAAATAATACTACTGTAAATTTGACAGGAAAGTAGATAAATATGTTGAGGATATTCATACAGTAGAATATAACAATAGAGAAAATTAACAAGTGTATGGACATGGATGAGCCTCATTAGTAAAATTAGTCACACACCTTTAATCCCAGCACTCCAGAGGCAGAGGCAGGAGGATCTCTGTGAATTCAAGACTAACCTGATCTACAAGTGCTAGTTCCAGGACAGCCTCCAAAGCCACAGAGAAACCCTGTCTCGAAAAACCAAATAAATAAGGAATAAATAAATAATTAAAAATTTAAGAACAGCAACAAAAAGTAAAATACTCGATATCATGGGTTTATTCTTTCTTTTTTCCTCATATGTATGGTATATGCACATATGTGGGTGTATTCTCACCCAGGCAATGGACAGCCAGAGGACACTGGGTATCTTTCTCAATGGGTCTCCAACTTTGAGCAAGTTCTCTTCCTGAATCCAATTATATCTATTAGATTGACTAGGCTATTGAACATTGAGCTGCCAGGTTTTACCTGTTTCCTCTTCCATCACTGACCTCCATGGATGAGGTTACAGGTGCAAGCTCCCAAGACTGGCAGTTTGTGTGGGTACTGGTCCTACTGTTTGCAGAGTCAGCACTCTTAACCACTGATCTGTCTCCCCTGCCCCTAGTTATCCTTAAGATAGCATTTTCTGGCCTAAAATTAGATAGACTGTATATAGCTCTTCATTGAATTACTCTTCTGTGTATCTTACACAGAAGTATTTTATAAATACTCATTTGAAACTAGTCACTGAAATAATACAATTCTAGATCATAGCCAGTGACACTACAGTTTTAAAATATATATATATATAATAAATATAAGCATGATCTAAATTATCATCTACATAGATGTTATAAATAACATGTGCCAGGCATTATGTTACACTTTTTAGACAAACTGTAACATCTTTATGGAAAGATCTTTAAGTGGTTAGTATATCTGTTTTATATATGAAAAAAATCCATGTCCAGAGAATATGAATAACTTTGTTAAAATTATAACATATGTAGCAGAGCAGAGTTTAAATTCAAGCAATGTGATACCAGACTATATGTTCTCAGCCATAGTAGCAGAAAGTATAGTATACATTCTTAGCTTTTTGTGCATGCCATGGATAGTCTGATAAAGTCTAGAGAGCCCCTTTAGAACAATGTTGTTTTGTTGTTTTGAGACAGGGTTTAACAGTCCTGGCTGTCCTGGAGCTCACTCTGTAGACCAGGCTGGCCTTGAACTCACTGAGATCTGCTGCCTCTCTGCCTTGGGATTAAAGGCATAGAGCTCACTCTGCAGACCAGGCTGGCCTTGAACTCATTGAGATCTGCCTGCCTCTGCCTCCCAAGTGCTGGGATTAAAGGTATGCACCGCTGCCACCACCAAGCAGAGTAGAGCTTTTAACTACATGAACTATACTACATCAGATTATATATATGAGATACAGCAAAAAAATTTTTTTTCAGTGTAGGCATGTACTTTTAAGTTACTGCGTTAATCAATGGAGGCTGTAATTGTAAAATTTTGGAATAATAATGATCAGTTGCATCTTGAGACTCATATGATATTGTAATAGGAAAATATTTGTAACTTTTTAATAGGTAAAAAGTCACCAATACAGTAGTAACGTTGATTTATTGTCTGAGTTCACTATTGGAAGACATTAGATTTTACTGAGAAGCTAGCAGAAATAGTAGGACTACAGGTGGGGGTCATTGGAAGAGCACTTGGTTAACATGCATGAGATCCTGTGTTGGATCCCCAGCATGAATAAAAACATTAGTAAACATGAGACTGCAGGTGTATGTGTCAGCAAGTGAGCTTTTGGTGGGAACATTTGAGACCCTGCATTTGATCCTCAGCAAAAGAAAATGGCAGATATGGGACTGAAGGTGTAGGTCAGTGGGAGGGTACTTGGCCAGTGTGTATCAGATCCTCTCTTTAATCCCTGGAATAAATAAAATTGCAGACCACAGGCAGTTAATATTTTTCTCAACTTAATTAAGTCCTGAGGTATGACTTTAATCTTACTTTGTAGACTTTTTGACACATATTTTACTTCAAAAATACTCACAAAACCTCCTGCTTTCTGACTTAAGATTACAATCAAAAAGTGATATGCAAATACCTTCAGTTTGTTAGAGTTTATTAGTTTGTTAGTGAACTTGTGGGCTGAGAAGTGAGTATAAGAGTAACCAAAATGCACATTTAGACAAGACGAAGCTTGGGGCTTATGTGGAAGATATGTGCCTATCTGGTTTCAGACATTTACTGCCAATGCTATTAATCATAAAATAATTTATTGTTGATTCCATACCTTACAGCATATGCAATTTTTCAATACCTGTAGCCATGCCATACTCAGAGAAGAAAGTTCAAATAACTGGACACCTTTAAAAGTTTCCTTGAGGAATTTTTTTTTAAATGAAGTTTTTCACTTGCCTTTCTTATGATTTAGCATACTGGCACAGCACCTGGGGAACCTGACTCTGACCAACAAGGAGGAATTGCTTGACTAATTGAAAGTGACAGAAACCTTGGGAGAAAGCAATAGCATACAAAGAATAATTAAAAAAAGGTAACATGAACACTAAAGAATGGTGTTAAGAACCTAAAGCTCCCAAATGAGGTTAGACTTGAAAAAAAAAAAAAAAACTAAGAGAGGACAAATAATGGATCTTTTCAAATTCTGCTCGAAACCAGGAGATAATCATGGGTAAGCCATGTGCAGCTTCTCATACTGGCTTAGCACTAACAGAGAAAGCAAGCTCCCTCCCTGTCTTGCTCCATTTGAAACAAAGGAAGCATATGCTGACATGGGGAAAGAGCCAGCGTTTGTGGTGTTAAGAACCTGGTGTTAATTCCTGTTCACAATATTAAAATGTATTGAAGCATTGCTTTGAACTGAACTACTCCAACGAACCAGATAAAAACAGGGTCCTCCTGCTAAAGCTGAAAGTCCCCAAACTGAAAGCATCCAACATCTGCCCCCAAAATGAGCTAGTTTAGCTCACATGATAAAGAATAAGCCCCACTGTAAACCTGTTTGGAAAGTAACTTTGCAGTGACCAGTTGGTGTCATATTCCTGTTTGTACTGTCTTTAGCCTTGTTCTGCTTATTGAGTCCACCCCTCCATCCCTGCTTATTGTATCACCTATATTACACAATGAGTCACTACTCAATTTTAGAATCATCTATAAAAGCCAGTCTAGTCTTTAAGAAAATTTGTTGTGATTTTGACATTTGGCAACACTTTTATTCTGGATAGGTGTTCCTCTCATCTATAAGATGGAGATATTATTTCTCATAGGAATTTTCTGAATAATGGAAACAACACATTTAAAATACTGAATCAGTTAGACATAGACTAAAGAAGTACCAGCCTAAAATCCAGACGGCCAGAGAAGCTAGGAAACAAGGGGGACCCTAAGAGTCCCATGTTCTCCCAGAGAATGGGATAGGGACAAGATCTCCTGAGCTAATTGGGAGCATGGGGAAAGGGGCAAGGGAGCTACAAGAAAGAGGGGGAGAAAAGGAGGGGAGAGGAAGACATGAGACAGCAGGAAGATTTAGTCAAGGGAAGAATTGAGGTGAGCAAGAGAAGAGATACCACAATAGAGGAAGCCATTGTAGGTCTAAAGAGAATTCAGGCACTAGGAAATGTCCAGAGATCTATGAGTTTGACCCCAAATAACAATCTAAGCAGTGGTTGAGAGGTGACCTTAAATGCCTTTCTCTGATAATGAGATTGATGACTACATTATATGCCATCCCAGAGCCTTCATCCAGTAGCTGATGGAAGCAGAAGCAGACACCCACAGCTAAACACTGAGCTGAATTCTGGAATGCAGTTGCAGAGAGGGAAGAGTGATGAGCAAAGGGGTCAGAACCAGTCTGGAGAAACCCACAGAAACAGCTGACCTGAACAAGGGGGAACTCATGGACTCCAGACTGATAGCTGGGAAACCAGTATAGGACTATTCCAAACCCCCTGAGGGAGGATGTCAGTTTGGAGGTCTGGACAATCTATGGGTCCTCTGGTAGTAGATCAGTATTTATCCCTAGTATACAAATGGACTTTGGGAGCCCTCTCCACATGGAGGAATGTCTCAGCCTAGACACACAGGGGAGGGAGGGTCTAGACCCTGCTCCAAATGATATGACAGACTTTGAAAATCCACCATGGAAGGCTGATCCCTCCCTGGGGAGGAGAAAGGGGTTGGGAGGGCAGGGGAGGAAGGGAGGGAGAGGGAACTGGGATTGACATGTAAAAGAAACTTGTTTCTAATAAAAAATTAAAAAAATTTTTCACTAGAAATTATCTTTTACTGTGCTTTTTTCTACAGAAAAAATGTAATTTCCCTAAAGGTTGTAAAACATATTTGTTTAAAAAATTCCCCTCAGCCAGGCATTGATGGCACATGCCTTTAATCCCAGCACTCGGGACGCAGAGGCAGGCAGATCTCTGTGAGTTTGAGACCAGCCTGGTCTACAGAGCGAGTTCCAGGACAGCCTCCAAAGCCACAGAGAAACCCTGTCTCAAAAAAAAAAAAATCCCCTCATCTGCTTTCTCCCTGTTAGTGACCATCAGCCTCATCTCATATGGAACAAGGATGGGGGTGTTGAAGTAAGGGTTACACTAAATAAATATTCTGAAGAGCTACATAAAGCTTTGCAAACCTAAAAAGAATATACTGAATCAGGGTCACAAATTGTCTTATTTAACTAAGTTGTATTGCTGTGAAAGACACCATGACCATGGCAACTCTTACAAAGGAAAACATTTAATTTTGGCTGGATTATAGTTTCAGAGGTTTAGTCCATTGTCATCATGGCTGAATGCAGGTGGAAATGGTGCTGGAGAAGAAGATGAACGTTCTACATTTTGATCTGCAGGCAGCAAAAGGAAACTGTCACTCAGCCTAGCTTGAGCATGTAAGACCTCACAGCCTGTCCCCATGGTGACATACTTCAAGACTACAAGACTACACCCACTCCAACAAAGCCATACTTCATAATAGTGCCACTCCCTATGGGCGAAGCATTGAAAACATGAGTCTATGGGGGCCATACATATTGAAATCGCCACACAAATAGTAACTCCAACTTGTGGGAGAAGTTTAAACAGTTGTGGAAAGCAATACTATTCCCAAATAGAGAGAGACATTCTGACAGTCTCTAACAATTCAAGCTCAGATTACATCATCTACTATGAGTCGTTTCCATTTCAGACTTTGGAGTGAAAATTATATGAGGTCTGGAAACAATCACACGCATATTTGAGGAATTGCAGGAAACAGGGCAAACTAAAGTAAACCTAAGCAAATGTGCACCTTTAGGATAATTAATGGAACTCTTTAAAATATATTTATTAATATTTATTTGTGAGATTATGTATATGCCTAGTTGTAGATCCTCTGGAGCTAGAGATTTAGGCAGTTCTGGGCTGCCTGATGTGGGCACTGGACTCACACTTGGGTACCCTGTAAGAACGACACATGCACTTAACCACTGAGCCTTCTCTCCAGCTCAAGAAATGGAAATCTTAAACTCTGTATTATAGTCATATGCCACATAATGATATTTTGGTCATCAACATGTCACACATGATCATGGTCCCACCAGATTACTATAGAGAGAAAAATATTCCTCTAGCCATCCTAAAACTGTAACTCAAGTTACATGTTTGTGGTGCTAGAAAATGTACCATACTGTTGGTTGTATAAAAGTGTAGTACACTTTTATACAGTGATAGCTATTTCACAGGTTTATGTATTTACTGTGTGTTTTAGTTTCTCGGCTCCTTTTGACGAAATACCTGACAAAAGCTACTGAAGGAAGATACAATTTCAAATTTTAGTTCTGGGGATACAGAAGGTATGGGGACAGGAGCAAGAGGCAGCTGCTCACATTGCTCCACAGTCAGGAGGCAGAGTGTTGGATGCTTATGTCCAGCTGGCTTTCTCTTGGTTTGGTCTGGGACCCTATACATGGGGATGGTGTGGCCCACAGTTATGATTTCTCTTCACCTCAGTTAGCCTGAACTAGATAATTCTCACAGACATGTCCAGCATCTTGACTCAATGGTGACCCTAGGGCCTGTTAAGTTGGTAACACGAGCCATTACAATGTACTTTTAACTGCAGATAGATCCATGTCTATCACCATGGACAAAACTTAAGTCCAAATGGATCAAAGACCTCAACATAAATCCAGCCACAAGGAACCTCTTAGAAGAGAAAGTGGGAGGTACACTTGAATGAATTGGTACAGGAGACCACTTCCTAAACATTACACCAGTAGCACAGACACTGAGATAGACAATTAATAAATGGGACCTCCTGAAACTGAGAAACTTCTGTAAGGCAAAGGACACAGTCAACAAGAAAAAACAGAGGGCATGGCTAACATTTCCCCTACAGTGGACATAAATTCCATTTGTATTTTCTGGGTGCTCTTAAGATGCTAATTACTTGCTCTGGGAAATCCTGCCCCAGGGTCTACAGGCAGACTGAATTGGTCCCTGAAGACCCAGGAACCCTGAGTCTGCTGAGATCTCTGGGCTATTCCGGCCCCCACAGAGTGCAGAGGTAAGCTGTTTTGGCCCCTGACTTGGGCCCAGTTTCCACCTGCCCACTCTGGGAACTCCTGCCCAGGGGTCTGCAGGCAAGTCGACTCGATCCCTGAGGACCAAGCAACCCAGAGTCTGCTGACATCTCTGCTCCAGTCCTTCTCTAACCCACCTGGAGAGGGAGTGCCTCAGACCTGCCTGCACCCACCATGAGACCCATCAGAGTATTGGAGCCAAATTGCACCCACCTGAAGAGACCCCTGGACCCATACACACCAGGAAAGGAAGTGACACCACCTGCACCCACTGGAAGAAGAGATGGGAAGACGACCATATAAGAACACATCTAGCCTTTCCGCCGACTGACCCAGGAACGAGGTGAGTGAGCCTCTGCCCTTACCCAAATCCCGCCCAAACCATCATTCACCCGACCTGCCCAGACCTGCGCCCACCTGCATGGGGTAGACACGCACAGACAAGGAGGAGCTCCCTGAATCTGGAAACACCCCACTCTTCCATCTCTTTCCGCCAACCGATCCACAACAAGTGAGGAGACTATCAGGAGAGGCAAGACCATCCAGAGTTGTGGACATTGAGTTCCTGGCCCGCACACACCACTGGGTCACAAGAGGAGATAGAGAGACCCCACCAGCACCCACTAGAAGAAGATATGGGAAGAAGACAGAATAAGATTTCACTCAACAACAGAAAGACCAATATGACACCACCAGAATCTAGGGACTCCACTCCAGCAAGATCTGAAAAGCCCAACACAGAGCATGAAGATGAGATGGACCTCAAAAATTATTTCAGCAAGATGATAGAGACCTTTAAAGAGGAAACAAGAAAATCCCTTAAAGAAATAGAAGAAAAAGCAAAAAAAAAAAAAAAATTACAGGAAATGGAGGAAAAGACTAACGAAAAAATTCAAGAAATAAACAAATTTCTTAAAGAATTTAAAGAAAGCCAAGAAAAAACATCCAAACAAGTGAAGGAAGTTCGTGAAACAGTTTGGAAAGGCTGGATAAACGATCAGGAACTAAAGATGTGAGTACAACCAATATAATTCATGAGATGGAACGAATATAACTACACTCACAAAAACACAGGCAATAGATAATCTAATTATCAATCTAATTATCTGATTATCTAATTATCTAATAATCTAATTATCACAAAAAGAAACAGGAGGGCGAAATCCACACACAATGACACCACCAACAATAAATCCAAAACAAACAAGAACCAATGAAAATGGACATTAGTATCCCTAAATGTCAGTGGTCTTAACTTACCCATAAAAATATATAGGCTAACAGAATGGATACGAAAACAGAAACCATCCTT